ATATATATATATATATGTATGTATGAGTGGGAACAAAATAGACAGAGCACTGCAAAATGGGATTATTTTGACTAAGGGCTGTTGCTAAGAAACGCTGCTAGAGCTCTGTAGTTCATTTAATAGTTGTTCACCCTTATCGAATAGGATTTTGCACGTGAATAACTATGCAGCCGCAGGTTGTTATCCATCCGCTCATACAACATGTGCTTGACTACAAGCTTGAGATGCTGAACAACACTAAAGCAATTCCGATCATTCTGCATACTGTGCATTTGCTCTTCACATAATTGTCATTGAGGGTGTTTTGTTTTGTTTTGTGATCTCTATTATTAACCTGCCATACAGCTCCAGTGCTACAGAGACCATTTTCAATTAGATTAGTGGTTTTCAAGCTAGAGTCCAGGGCCCCCAGGAAGCCACAAAAAATTAAATGTGTAAATTAAAATAAAATAAAATCATATAAAATAAAATAAAATAAAATAATAGAATGTAAATATAAAAGAATACATGAAAATCTATTTGTCTTCTATGTTTTAGGAAGCATGCCATTCATCATATTTGGGAGTTCATGGAATCAAAAAAATTTGAAAAACCCCTGAATAAAATGATATTGTAGCTTGGTAAATGTAGGTAACTGTTATCTGAATCCTTTAATCTGGCCAGTGAGGAGTCAGGGTTTGCAGCAACTCTTCACCTATGTACGGGCTCACTGGAACATCCGATTTAAACCAGGAATTTAATACAGCTCTCAGTCTTGCCTTCATAAATCAACTCAAATACTCATGCCATTTCTGTTATAGTGCCTGACACCACAGTCTTTTGAAAGTCAGAATTTACTCTGAAGACACATCTTCACAAGTGCTTGAAATGAAAACTGAATTGTTTAAAGATGTAACCAAAAATCTAGATAACACACACCTTGCATGCATTTGTATACTTTTAGATTTCAAAAATTGCACTGCAAACAGCACTGCATGCATGCACACAAACAAATGCACTGGCTCTGCCTCTGTTGCTCTGTTATTCGGTTGCTCTGCAGCAGAAATCAACGCGCAGTCAGCTAGTATGAGACGCCGCAGTGTTACGCTATAGCACAGCGAGAGGAAGGGACATGGAGGTTGTAAGTGATGATTAGCAATCCGGCACGAGGCCCTGCACCCATACAGCAGCACGCTAATCAAACACTATGCGTGTCACGGTTGATAAAAAGACCTCCGTTCAATGACGACGCAGTAAAATGATGACGGCATCTCTCCCTCCCCTTGAGAACTGTGAGCTGGGTAACTTACAATCGCAGACACTTCAAACGCATTAAGAGCAATTCTGCAATCAAATGCAGCCCAAAATTCAATGGAAAACTGATCAGTTAATTGGTACCCTGGGCTCATTTCAAGAAAGCAAGTGTGTATCGACTGCTCATGACTATGATCTATTAACCCAGATGTGCCGTGGGAGATAAATATCTTAAATAGCCTGCACTGATAAAGGAGATAAATGGTCGCTGTTCACTAGCTCGTGAATGGCGTTCTGAGAGGCAAAGGGTGAATTGCCTTTCATGTGCTCCAGCTGAAACATCTCTTAACCAACAAGGGTCAGTAAGTGACTTTGTTCTCCTAAAATTGTAATAGATTTGTACAAAAAAACATATTGACAGACAGAAAAAAAAAATGTCTGTGATTACTTGCTTAAAATGGCAAGTAAAAAAGTTTGGCGCATCTAATTGGGCTGCAATCTGTGTAAAGTTTATGAATTCATATGACCTTATTAAGCTCATTATCCCAAAATTGGGATCCCAAGTGTGGCACCCAGAAAAAAAAATCTAATTGCTTCAGGTCTGGATGTAAGAGGTAGGATGTAACGATTAGCAGGTGATTGTGGTGCCAGTGACATATGGGGCTTCTGCTGAATAAGCAGGAAACTGATTCAGTTAAAAGTAAGACCCATGGGAAACGCAGTAGTTTCCGGGATACCGTGAAGATCCTGTGCTTCCAAAGTGGATAAATACCTAAGCACAACCTGACACAAGTAACTTGTTTGGTAAGCTAGAATTTTCTCAAATACCTTTCCTGGTGGTTAAATCTATACAATTTTTAAGGGTCACACAATTTACGTGATGAAAGATAGGCTACAAAATGAACAAAATGACTAAAAAGTTTGTGAGCATAAAAACATGCTTACTGTCAGGCATGAATGTTTCAGCAATTCAGGAACAAGTGGGGGGAAATGTTCTTCTAACATAAAAAAAAAAACATTTGCAAGGTAATGCAGTTCATAGTCAAAACTCAATAGTGCCCACCTCAGGGTAAATGCCCTGGTGACGTTCAATATCGTAGAGGTCTGCCAGGTACCGTTCTGCAGTATGGACAACAGCGAAATTACAAACACTTTGCGCATGCGCAATGACTGGCGGATGAGATATGAATGTGTGCGTATCTTAATTAAGGGTTTATTTTTTGCGATAATGACCGTCTGACTGATAATTATTCGTCTCGCTAGACATTAAATGTTTCATTTATTAAGACAAATTTGATCGCTGGATGCTGCGACTGACGAAGTAGAATCAACAAGGCTTTTGTATAGCAGGAAGCCGAGTATAAACTGAATAACAATGTTCTTCAAAGCATTAAAGCAACTTTTCAACATTTCAAGTGAGGTTATAATTATATTAACAGCAGAAGCAAAAGGGTACGTTTTAAAAAGGCGCGACAAAGTACTGAGGAGGCGACTGCGCATTGTTAACAGGTGTTGTGCTCAATTTTGACCCCTGCCAGATTTTTACCCCCCTAGTATTGGTAGGTTTAGGGTTAGGTGTGTGGGAGGGGTTAGGATTAGGCAATTAGATAGCGATTTCAACGAGAGGGGTAATCATTTTGCAGGGGGTCGAAAATGGGCACAACACCGGCAAATAATACGCATGGAGAGAGTGACAGCGAGACAAAATACTGCATTTATCAAAGAGAGTGACAGAGAAAGGGTCCACATAACGAACCCGAGTCCTTTTCTCTCCGGAGTCCGAACGTAGCTAACAAACTTTCGAAATGTTTACAAATTGTCCAAAGTACGCCAGTGAGTGGACTATTCCGACTCTTGCGGACCAGTTCATGATTCTATGTAGCATACACGAGAAATATACAGTCAAATAGTAGCTGAACAGGTAACATGCATGCCATACTACTAGAAGTGAGCTCAAAACTGATACAGACACCACGTTTAAAAAGTAAACTAACAAGATGCCGGTACACTCACTCACCCTGGCGTATTTCGAGGAGTAGGGGTCCTCAAACAGCGCCCACATGAAGGGCTGCCAGGTACTCCACCAGCTGCGGTTGCGACCATCCTCCTGTAGACACAACCTCTTCAAGTCCCCGTCCGCACCACCCGTTAGCGCCGGGTCGTCCTCTGGCAGGTCCGGCTCGGGCGTCTCGAAGCTGTCCAGCGCTTCCTCGGCGTCCCGATCACTTTTATACATTATCAAACTTGTCAAAGTAACCTGCTTCTAACTCATCACATCATTAGTTCTTGCACCAGCTACTAATGGCTTTGTACAACTGCAGGAAAAGTGGTACAAAAACTGTGACTTTACAAAAGATATATTCTTAAAAATAAAGCTTTTTTATTTGCTTTTATGGTTCCATGAAGAACCATGAATCATTTCCATTGCAGCATTCTTTATAGTGGAAAAAGGTTCTTTAAAAAAATGTTCTTCTTCTTCTTCAAAAAAAGAGGTTCTCTTAAGAACTGCTCACTGAAAGGTTCTTTGGGGAGCCCCAAAAAACTGATCTTCTATGGCATTACTGCAAACCCCCCTTTGGAAACCTTTATTTTAAAGAGCATTTAGGTACTAATATGTACCGTTTAGGGGTAAATGTACAAAGGTGTACCTTTTAAAGGGTAGGCCTACTGCCCCAGTTTTGTAAAGTGTAGGTGGTGCAATGCAATGTCAATCTAGATTTTGTCAAAACACCTATTAAAATTTACAAGAAACTGCAAATATTAGGGCCACTGTCTAGGGCAAACACGAATATCATATACCTAAGGTCCTTTATGGTATAGTCTATTCACTGGGCTTGGAAAAGAGAGGGCCTGTCCATAAAAAACTGTCAAAATCTTTGGCAACAGCCCTAGCCAACATACAAAATCAGATGAATGTTAATGCAGGCATATGGGATAAGCATTTTAATGAAGGAGTGAGTTCAATATACGTTCACGTGTCACATAATAAACAGGAAAGAGACGCCTCCTCCTCTGCAATGCCCACCCATCATTCCTTACCATCTTTTACCATCACTCAGCTCTCATGTCCCTCAATTCACTAAAACACTCTGCTCAATTACAGCGAAGGGAGATGAAAATGACTGAATGTTTCACAGCCACCCCCCTCCCCACACCATACTCTGAGCGTATCCAATAGAAAGAGGGAGAGGAGGAAAATGAGAGCAAGAGAAAGGGTGGGAGGAAGAGGGAGAAAAGCTGAAGGCAGAACGATTATTTGCTGAGCTACACAAAATAGGGAGAAAAGACTGCAGAGTATTAATTCTTACACTATCTCTCGCTCTCTCTCTCTGGGCAGTGCTAATGTTATGCAGATCATTCAGTACAGTCTTTGTACAGTATTAACCTTGGTTGCAGACGTAAAATCCAGAAAATCGTAATTGCTTGAGTGTGCAAACTTCAAAATTACAATATACTATTAAAAAGGGTTAGATTCACATAACCTCTCATATGCACATTCATATTTTCACTGCATTACACTGAGCAAGTGCTTTAAAAACTGAATGTCTTTATTCATAGCTATAGTGAAACAAATGAGTCCTGGCTCTCTTTTTCCAATCAAAATGTCCCATTTTGGAAATATGGAGCAGGGACGTTATTATCTTTTTCTCTTGGGGTCGTCGTGCACTGTAAAAATGGTAACGGGCCATTTGTAGTTGATTTAACCTTTAAAAATGACTTTTGTTAGTGTGACCTAATGTAGGCAAATTGACTCCCTCAGGTTAAATAAGGGTTTTAAATGTAATAAAACATGTTAATTTAGAAGTTACTACATGAAGCAAATTTTACTATTGCCTAGCAAAAATTGTTTTTTACAGTGTAGAAGGGTCCGATTTCACCAACCAATGTCCTTCTCCCGCTGTGTTTTGCTGTGTTGTCGCTTCTGGCTTTCACAATAACTCTCCTATATCTGTTCCTCTTGTTTGGCTGTGCTGCATGGCTGCTCCATACATATCTGTCAAACTGTCTTCCCTTATTACTTATCCACTCTTATCCATTCTCCTCAGCTCACTCTTTCTCTTGCTTTCCCTTATGTCCCCCTGTGATTAACCGTTGAAACAACAAAGATCACAGGAGTATGAGAACCGTAGGAGGGAGAGAGGCTGAATCATATGAAACAAGGTAAATGCATTCACTGCTTTTCTAAATTGATATATGGTTTCTGCTTTCAGCACCACGGACAGCGCATGGGTTTCAGTTAATCATTTAAAACAGTATAAGAACTGGAAATATAGCTAAAAAATGAGCAAAACATTTTATAACGGACATAAAATGAATAAAATACTAAATAAAATACAAAAATATCTCACAAATAATATGTAATAATAATCATAATAATACATAATAAGAGAAATAAGTCATAACAAAAAAATTAATAATAATATTTAAAAAAAATCAACTAACAACTGTGCTGGTGTTACACTGCTTTTCCAAACTGTATTCTCATAGCACTTAATTATATATAACTAAATCACTTAATTATATATAACTAAATCATCCAAAGTGGAAACACTATCAAAACATCACTATGTTTGTCTCGGCCACCCAACATAACAATATTAGCTCAACCAGTGCTGTTTTTGCAAGGTGTTTAAATATGCCAAGCATGTGGTGGTGAAATAAATAACTATAAGGAACACAAAAGGGGTAAATAAATAAATTGATGAATAGGAAAAACTGAAACTGAGAGGAAACTAGTGGGGGAAAAAAAGTTGTGTTGACAAAGCAAAAAAAAAAAAAAGGCTCCCACTAAAAAGGGAAATCATTGTTAAGTGTGTGTGCCTGGATGGAGGGAAGTACATTAAAATGTGTATCTCCGTTGGGATGGGGTTTGGTTGTAAGGACAGATACGCCTATAAAAGACAACAGCACTATATCGACAGAGAGCAGGGAGAGAGGAAAAAGGGAGAGAACAGGTTACGGCCACTGAGGGAAATGTGAAGGAATGACTGCAGTAAAGGTAAATGAAGCTCCATTCATAAATTATTCAATTTAAAGAAACAATCCCAAAGAGAAGTGATATATATGCACTGTTATGAGAAGGAAGTAGAACTGAACCATATCTACACTCTTTTTCTTTTATCGTACAATATGCTGTAGTGCGTCTGCATTATCCCTTCACTCTAACTCCCTTTCTCTCTGTCTGGTGCAGTGTAGGTTCTTTGGATTTTTCTGCTTGCTTTCCCACTGCAGTTGAAGATCAGCGGTGCTCAAATGCCACCTAGAGGACTCATTGGGGAACTGCACAGCTCAAAATACTGCAGTACCCCCTCCTCTTCAAGCTTTCTCCACGACTGAGGTATGGATGCCTTATGTAAACCATCTGTCGATGCATTGCATACAGGTTTGTGTCCCTTTTTAGACCATACACCCTTTTAATTAACTGAAATCACTTAACAAATGCAATTCAATCGCTGATTTATATGAACTGACCAGGTATTATCTCGGAGCTTCCTGATCTCAGTGATTAAGGCTTTTTGCAGTCCCTGGCCTCCTTCTCTCTCTCCCTTATTTGTGTGCACTAAGCTACTCTCAGCCGAGTTGCTCATATTGACGTCTCTTGTGGAATAGCACTAAAAGAACATAAATTAACAGAGCAAGGACGTTTACGCACACAAACATAAGACACATTCAGAAAAAAGCAATGTCACAGCACAATTAATTAGCTTTAAATCAAACTATGCTGTGCAAAGACAAACTAAAAAGCACTGGCACACATGGATATATGATATATCCTCAGAAGGTCATCAGTCAGACTTTGACCTCTGCTTTGAAACTAATCACAGCTCTGTTCTCAGCAGTCAGAAGCCCTTTTCAAAAGGCCCCCTCATTTTTTTAGTCAAGAGAGTGAGAAAGATATTCAGAATGGGGCTTAGAGGACTCATCTTACAGTGACAGCATTGAGACGTGCATGACTATATTCCAATATCTAGCACTAACAGTGTTCTTAAGATACACCATCCAGTCTCAGCTCTCGTTAAAACCTAATTAATAAAAGTGCCCTCTCCGGTTAATTACCATCCCTTTATAGTCCCCCATTAAGTACACAGGGAATGAAGCCGGAGAGAGATGGGATATAATTTGTGTTAAGCCAAATCACACATGTACATGATGGAAACTATTCTTAGCGGTGGGAAAGAATGGAGTAGGGTGAAAACAAAGAAAAGAAGGGAAAAAAAGGAACTGAAAAACAGACAGAGGACAGAGAAGGTCAATACGGGGGTAATCTCAGGTGATGTGTAAGGGTCAAACTTTTAGGAAGGGGTGTATTTGTAAGGATGCAAAATCATGGAAAGGCATCAGCAGGAGGGAGAGTACGGGGTTTGAAATAAGGCACTGCCAATAGGATGTGAGTGAGTGAAGGAGGGAGGGAGAAAGGGAGGGACCAGAAGCTGAGAGAAACAAACATAAAAGTGTAACTAGTGTATGTGATGAGATGAGAAAGTGTAGAGGAAGAGGAACACAAGTTAGAACAAAAGTATTGTTTATAGATCAGTAGTTCTCAACCAGTTCAGGGCTCAGATTATATATTAGACAGTTAAAAGTAAATAAATGTCCTTATTATCAAACAATACATATATTAATATTATAAAATAGTTCAAGCACAGTCACAGTCAACAATTTCAACAACAAAAGACAAAGTGAAACGTTTTCTCCTCCATTTTAATACCTGATTTAAACTGTTTATTTGGTTATCCAAATTATACATTTTTATTGTCTGTATTTAGCCGTTTTAAATGTTATTATCTGGAACCCATTTTTTGAGAGCCACTTGAGAACCATTGTTAGAGTATTAGCAAGAGATATAGGGGTCATTGAAGGATGAGAAAAGCTCCATCTACAGTCAGCATAAACTTTCTAGAGTTTTGTTCGCATTTGATTGTAGATAACCACGCCATTGGGTAGGGAGTGATGATGCAACCAAAAAACAAATGCTTATGTAGTGTTTAGAAGAGAACACTGAGTTCCCTAACATACAGAAGGGCATACATTTGGCTACTCTGTTTCAAATAAAACAGAAGCAGGGGAAAAAAAGAGTGGGCATACAGGAATAATTAAGGTTTGATATTTATGCTAACATAGTGAACTGAAA